TAAGTATTCATATGTGCTTAACATTTGGGGAGTAAAAACTCAGCCACAACAGCTCTTATGTGTATTAAATGGGATCCTCTGTAATTTTTCAATTAAAAAATTGTACTGATAACCAAAGGAGGGAAAAAAACAAGAAGAGAAAAAGTAGAGTCTCTTTATCGAGGGCTTTTGCCTTGTTTTAAACCTTGCTCAATACTATTTTGCAGATCAATTGCACATCCAAGTCATAACAAATTGCACATCCACACATAAAAATATTATGCAAAAATGCTAAATATTGATGGATATTTTATACTGAATTCTAGTTTAATAATATAGGATATTTTGTCTTTTACACTAAAATAAAGCAAAATAAATTTCACTAGAAAACCTCCAGAATTACTTGCTTGTGAAAGTATTCTTGTATAGATACTTACTAAGAAAAAATATTCAAAACAGATAGAAATAATATCATCTCCATTGTGCACATGCAACCATTACTATGGCTAGCAAAGAAACAGAGATGAACACACTCTCAATTTTTATGTTGCACTGATAAATTCCATCAGCCAGGAATGAAAGCCATGTCTTTTGTGTTAAAAGAATAAAAGGCAGTGTTATATATTACAGCACCCAGAAGGCATTTGTGGCAGGTGCAGTAATTTAAGTCAACCTAAACACTCACTAAGGCAGCTAAGGTAGGTATAGGCCAGTTGGGTGAAAATACCAAACAAAATAGGTTTGAATCACTTTTCTTAACAATCTTGAAAAACAGAAAAGATTTCACATCTCTCAGGTGGCTTGGTTATGACCCTAGTAGAAAGCAGGAATGGAATTCTCAAATTTCTTTCAGCCCTCCCCTTTAGTCTATGATTTAGAAATAAAATCAGAGGAGAAACTGAAGGAATAGAGATACACATATTTATCAACTGTAGTGTCCAGTAGAGGGCACTGGAAAGGCAGGACTGCAAGATAAGATTGGACTCCTATTTTTAAATGATAAGGGTAGATTGTTTAGAAAAGGAAACATGCAAAAATATTTTTTCTAAGCACAAATTCATCTACAGAGTCTGCCATTTATCCTTCAAATGCGATATGAAATTGGCATTACCGCTGTTTTCAAATTTTGACTTTTTAAATTAAGATTGCTTGTCATAATGTGTTCCCTCAATAGTCAGTAAAGGGAATCAAATTTTCATAACAGGATTGCAATATTTAGTTTACATTAGTTCTCACTGATAGGGAAGCAGATATTAGATGATTTCTGGCCTTCGATATTTTCTTCTAAATTTAAACATTAAAACTGTACCACCCAATTTTTGCTGCTTTTATTTTCTGAGTGATAATATTTATTGAAAATTGTCAAGTACAGAACAATATTCAAATATTCTAGTCAAGATACATGCCCTAAATGTTTATGTTTTAAGATAAGATAGGTTATGTATTATAAATAATTCCACTCAAAACAAATATTGAAAAATGGCCTCTTTTGACAACTTTTTATTTTTTGTCTTCTAACTTTATAAACTTTAGGAAGGCATACAGAAAAAAAAGATATGGTAGAAAAGTTGAGAAAATGTCCTAAATGCTATTGAATTTCAAAATATTATAAAGGGAAAGGTAGCCATACGGGTTGGAGGGTATTTTAGAAAAATGGTAGCAATAGATAATCCAATAAAGGGCACATTCTATGGTAATTCATGCTGCCCTAAACTTTTCCTGGAACAAAGCTTGCAAGCTAATGGCAACCAACATTTACCTCGTGCTGTCCTTTCCTTTTCAATGAATAAGAGGATCAGGCATACTTCCCCACATCCTTTGTAGATCCACTTGGTGTTACATCAAAGAGCACCCTGAAGACCAAAAAAAGCATATGTGGATGATGTTAATAAACGCGACTTGCTGGACATTTTGAATTTCAATGTTTCTGCAGTTTTGCATTAATCCTCATCAGGATTTAGTGGACATTTGTAATTTTTTCTAATTTTATGGAATTCACAACATCTGCTACAGTTTGGAAAGGTAGAAAACAAAGAACAGGGAGGGTTTTTGACTTCCACACACGTCTCATTTGAAGAAGGGCTCAACCTCTTTATTTTTTAGTTTAATTTTATCCAATTCCATATGCTTGTGGAATGCATATTATAATAAGGCTGCATCTGTTGACCAGTTACAGCTGTGTCCATGATGGTACTTGCTAGTCATCAGTCCTCTCTCTGTGCTGTGGTGGTATGTCACAGAAGAAAAACTGAGAGCCACAAGAGCTTTACCTTTGTCTGACTCGCGCTGTTCTGCAAAATGATTAGTCATCATCACAGCGGTGGCTTGGTTTTTCTATGTCTTATTTGGAAGCTGCCAAGATGTAGTCAGATGCAAACACCATGATGATATGGACACATTTAAACACAGGAGACAGGCAGCATGGCAGCAGCAATGGAACATTTTTATCTCAAGCCCTAGACAGCAAGGCAGCAGAACGGAGCAGTTTAACTCAGGGGGATAGCAATGAAAAGTGTGGCAG